TTTAATTCAAATCAATCACATCTCGGTAATTAGGTTATTCTCCGACATGCCAATTATGTCAAGATTTAAACTAAATTCGATGTTAAATTGACGAGACGTCCGACGTAGGGATTAAACAATTGGTTCAACATGACGCCACAAATAAAAAAAATTACTTTAGCATAGGAAATAAAACTTGAAATTTTGACAATGAATAATATCGGCAAAAATAGAAATTTTCAAAATATAAACCTTAAGTTTTAACTAGACGTAGTACCATTTTTTAGAAAGGGTATACCTTTTGAATGATTGCTATCTTTCTAAAAACATAATCAATTTCTCATCGTAGAATCCTTAAAACATAGTACGTTTTAGACTTAAATAATAACTTCAAAATTAATAAATAACTCACATCATTTTCAATCAAAATAAATCTCAAGCATTAATTTTCGGGAGCCTCGTAAACAACGGTAGCCACAAGGTAATTTGCTTTGATTCATGCACCTTCCGTGTTTAAGACATGTATTAATGGTTCTAAAGAAAAAATTTCTGCTATTAAACTAATTGTTACAATCACTGGTAGTGACCACTCCCGGTTAGGATACTTCCAGCAGGTTCTTGAATTTGAGGCCATCATACTGCCATGGATGCTCTCTTTGTATTAATTAATGGGATAATAAATACGTTAATTTTTAACATTTTTAATCGAATATATAATTTTTTTATTTATTTCAGTATATGCCAATTTTTTTTAACAACCAATCAAGTATTTTTTTTATCTAACTTAATTCTATTAATTAATTAGTCTATTATCTAATAACGTGTTTTTTATTTTTCAGATCACTAAATTATGATTTTAAAAATTAGAAAATAACAAAATAATTTGAGAGGAAAAATTCTTTTCAAAAATAAAAAGATAAAATCACAATTTATTAGTTTGTAAAAAAAAAAAAAAAACACGTTATCAGAGAATATAGTAATTAACAGAAGTTGAATAGAAAATAATTGATTGGTTATTTTGAAAAAAATTAAAATATTCAAACGAAAAAAATAAAATTTATATATCCGATTGACAAAAGGGTAAAACTTAATATATTTATAGTGGAATTATCTCCTTAATTGATTAAACTCCTGGAACAAATATCTGGCTGGTCAGTTACTTGCAGTTTTATCTAAACTTTTTCTTAGTCTCGATGGTTTCTGGGCACATTGGATCATGCAGGAAGAGACGCCAATATGACATCGTAGATGAGATATAGACTTTGACCCTTTTTGGTGAAAGGAAAGAAAGTTACAATTGCTACTTCTGGTTTGCATATTTTCAAGGTTAACCACAGAGATCTGGTTTCCAATGGATATGGATGGGTCAAAAGAATCTGGGCTGCCCTACATTGATCTCAAGAATGATATCAGCATTGAATTAACAGCCTAGAGTTTTGCATGGCTCAAAAACGAGGGAGGTGGGAGAGTCCTGCTGGTTAAGTAAGATGCTGTACGGATAGGGGACAGCAAAATGGCTAAAGTTATTACACACAAACAATAATCAATAGTGCAAAAATAAATCAATCTTAAAATGAGAATTACAAGAATATCCATTTCCAATTAACAAAAAAAAAAAAAAGGGTAGAAAACTATAGGGTTAACTGCGAGATAAATTTAGGATAAATAATTTTATCCATCTTTATATAATTAGACAAATTTTTAATATGTCAATGTGTTTTTAATTGTGTCTATTATCATATCATTGTATAATATCTAGTTCTTCAATATGTACTTCATTTTTATTTTTATTTTCACTCAAATTGATAAAATTATACTTTTTATTTCAAAATTATCATTCAGTTATATAAGCATATATATAATATGAAAATTTGTTAAAATTGTTCAAAATATTTTAAGAAATAAAAAGGTTTCAAGATTAATTAACTATTAGAATTTTTTTTAAAAAAAAAGGTTTCTAATTTTTTTTCAAAGAAATCAAAATTCTTATATAACTCAATGATAGTTTTAAAATGAAATATATAATTATGTGAATTTGGATAGAAAAAATTGATGAAAAGATATAATAGAAAATTAGATATTATATATGAACATAACATATACAATTAGAAACATAAAAAAAAATTAAAGACTTGATCAATCACATAAAAATAGATCGAGTCATTTATCCATAAATTTATTATATAAGAAAGCAATACAATAAAAAAAAAAATTAATTAACCTTTTAGATAAATACCTAATTATTTATTTAATAAATCCATCTTACCACTAAATTCTAAAAATTCACAAAATGTCTCTATGAAATCTATACTATGAAAGCATGCAATTGCTTGAATACCATACCACTAAATTTATTTATATTTTTCAAAGAAAAATATCAAAAAAGACAGAATTTCTTCTCTCTCGTTCTATTTGTACACAGCCTCCGCATACACGGCATCGTTTCATTTACTTCTTTACCCATTCTAGTGGGCTAATGCTCCATCTAATGGGTTGAACTCGTTTTTTATTTTATTAGACGATTATGGATATTTTCATATCAGTTTATGTGTTAACTAAGATTAAATTTTTTTGATAATTTTAAGGGTGCGTCCTTTTTTTATTTTTTTATTTTTACATAAATGATGATAATTTAGATTAAGATCTTAAATATTCTCAAATTAATTAGTATATCATTTAACACTAAATATTCTTTATAATTTTAAAGGTATACTGCCCTTACACTTGAGTGAGGAATAATTTAGCTAGATTGAGATCTTTAGCGTTTTCTTGTATCATATATATTAAATTTATATTTCTGAATTCAAATTGAATAGACATAATTTAGTGGTTGAAAAATATGATAACAATTTAACTCATTATTTTATTTATCTCACCCAATCTAAATTATTAAATTCAAAATTACTGATAATATTTTATTAACAAAAAAAAAAGACTTTTAAATTTTTTTTATTTTAATTTAGGTTCCAAATCTTTGTTTGGATCCACAATTAAGCCGTTCTATCATGTTGACGAATTTCAAATGATATTAAACGCACGTAAAAAAAACATATTATTTTTTTAATGGTTCACATGCATTAGAATCTAAATTAAAATAAAAATTATCTTTGAATGAAAATTTAGGATACTTTAGTCCTTTTTTTTTCCCCATCAAACGATTTGTGAGTCTTAAACTACATAACACGAGAAACATTCATTCATTGCATAATAATCAAATGAAATGAAGTCATTAAGACTCAAACGTACTTCACCTAATATATATATATATATATATATATATATATATATATATATATGGAGTGTAAAACTACTAAACTATATCAATTTATGTACTTTAGTCTAATTTTAAATTAATGAAAAACTACCGGATAAATTTATGTGAAACGTTGGAGCATTGACTCTTTTAAACAAAATGGGAAAGGCCAAACCCTTGTCGTGGAACCCATGTCCATTTCCTGTGGCAAAAAATCAGAATTTAAACCCTAGCTACCTGAGAGTGATATATCGAAGGAGGCAGATACGAATACCAATTCAACTACATATTCATCAACGAAACCCCACCATCAGCCTCACGTCATCATCTATTTCATGTCACGATGTGACATGTTTTGTAAAGTTAGCACTAATGCAAAATCAATGCTTACAGCTATAACGTTTGTGCTCACTATTCTCTCAACTATATGCTTCTCTCACACACAAAATACCATTAATGGTTAAGGCAGCTAGTGGTTGATGAATAACCACATATTATAATTAGTACAGCCACAATAAATCTTTTCTTCACTGTTAACGTTTCAAATCCAAACGAACGCCCTCACTTCAAATTATTGGTTATTTCGGTTCCCAACTCTTTAATTTTTTCTTCTGACTTCATCCCTTGAATCATAGAATGTTTTGACTGATATCCTTTCCTTTGTATTACATTTTTTTTATTATTATTATTAAGTGACATGTGAGTTAAATATGTATTTTGTAAAATATCCATAGATCATAATTGATCGCAAAAATTAAAAATCAAGATCCATAATATTATGATAGAAACATTATTTAAAATAGGATATAATTATCGTCAAGAAATTAACATTCGACATAGTCTTTTGAGTTTCTAATGATTTTTGATATTTTCAAAGAAAACATGTAGTATTTCATGATTAAATTGAATGAAATATAACGGAAAGGTGTCAATCAAAATACTGTATCGTTCAAAGATTGAAATCAAGGAAAAAAATCAAAAAAAGTCAATCAAGATGGACTTATGATTCAGTGGAGTTTTCATACATGTTCATAGCTGTATGAGAAATGAAATCTGAATTCTTATTTTCTATTTAAGTTTATCATCGATCTGCATATTATGAAATGACCTTATCTTTAATATTGAAATCACTCTTAATTGGAATAATGTTCTTTTATTGATTTTTTATAGAATAATATATATATATATATATATATATATATATATATATATATATAAAGAGAGAGAGAGAGAGAGAGAGAGAGAGAGAGAGAGAGAGAGAGAGAGAGAGAGAATAAATTATAAATTAGTCCCTTTCGCTTCAAGAAATGAGTTAATTAGTTTATTTGTTTCAAAAAATTAACTATTTAGTTATTTTTATTATTTTTTCAATTTATTTTAATTTTTTATTTTAAAAAATAAAAAAGAAATAAAATATAAATAAAAATATGAAAAGATCAATGAAAAACAAGATATTTTATAAAATATTAAATTAGTTGTGGCGAACATTGATTAAAAGAATTAAATAATTAGTTTTTAAAACTAAAAAGACTGATTCATTTATTTCTCAAAATAAAAGGGATTAATTTATAATTTACTCTTATATTTTAACTACTTTTCTGTTGGATATTTTTATTTTTAATATATTCATGCACTTTCATTAAAAAATAATAATAATAATAAAATGAAGGGAGTTTGCACGGTTGAGCTCGGCTTAGACGTATTTTACAAGATTCACCCTCCTATAAATGACCAATTTCAACCCATTTCTAACCATAAACCTCTAAACATGCCTTCAAAAGCCCTTCAATGGTTAAGTCTTGTGGGTATGATATGGCTTCAGTCTGTAAACGGGACAAACTCCAACTTTCCTGCATACTCCTCTCAGCTCAAACAACTCCTCTCTATGTCTCAAGTTCAGCTAAACAACCTTGCCTTTGCCTCAGATGCTGGAAAACTATTTGGTTTCTTTTCTGGCATTGCTGCTCTTTACCTTCCTCTATGGCTAGTTCTCTTGATTGGTTCCGCTCTTGGTTTGGTTGGCTATGGTTTGCAGTATCTCTTCATAACAAACCAAATTTCGTCTCTTTCTTATGCCCATATTTTCTTGCTCACTGTTTTGGCAGGAAACAGTATTTGTTGGCTCAACACAGTTTGTTATGTTGTTAGCATCCATAACTTCCCTTCTGATCGCCAAGTTGCTGTAGGAATAACCACTAGCTATCAAGGATTAAGTGCTGAAGTCTACACGGTGCTTGTTGATGCCTTGTTTTCTTCTCCTGCCAAAAGAGCCAAAGGCTATCTTCTTCTTAACTCTATATTACCTTTACTGGTTTGTGTGATGGCCTCACCTTTTGTTAGACATCTTAATGTTGAAACTAGCAAGAACATGAAAGTTGGGTTCATAGTCATCTTTTTTATAACAATAGCCACAGGAGTCTATGCTGTTGTCAGCAGTTTGGGTTCCTTGTCAAGCCGGATACCTCCATTAGCCAATGCCATTGGTACCTTAGTGTTCCTGTTAGCCCCACTTGCAATTCCTGTAGCAGAGAAGATGAGAGATATGCTATTAAATGGAGAGATGAAGGTTTACATAGAGGAGAATGTTGGTGACCAAGTTGAGAGAATAGAGAGTGGGATTAAAGAGGAAGATGATGATAGAAGGGAAGCTCAAGTTGAGGTGGGCGTAAAGGAGGAAATTGGGGCGATGTTGATGCTAAAAAGAGTTGATTTTTGGTTGTATTTCTCCATATATTTCTCCGGTGCAACACTTGGGCTAGTTTATTTGAACAACTTGGGACAGATAGCTGAGTCTCGTGGCTCCTCAGCTACTTCTTCTCTAGTTTCTTTGTCTTCCTCATTTGGCTTCTTTGGCCGTCTCATGCCATCTCTCTTGGACTACTTTTTGCCAAGGTAAATTCAATCTATTCCGAGTTTGTACATGTAAATTCCCTTCATGTTTTCAAAAACCTTGTAGAAGGCACCTGCTACTGTTTGTTGTTGCGTGCTGATCACAAAAGTTGGGAAAAGGAAAAGCATTTTCATCGATCCTGTCCCTTCCCAAAATCATAAAGGGCATTGCTATGACATTTATGATCTACCCAACTTTTATAGATTTACTCAATGCTATATGCCTTCCTTTACTGCATCGATCCAAACCAAAAATATCCATCTGTCGAGCCAGTGGTTCAGGAGATTAAAGGCTTCATTCAATTCTTTTTCAGGAGTAGGTATTTGACATCAACACCAGCTTGCGTAGCAGCATTGATGGCTCCAATGGCAGGAGCTTTCTTCTTGCTCCTCAACACAACGAACGTCTCCCTCTACATCAGCACTGCTGTTATCGGTGTCTGTACTGGGGCAATCACTTCCATCTCCGTATCAACAACTCGTGAGCTTTTTGGCACAAAGAATTTCAGTGTCAACCACAATGTCGTGGTCGCCAATATCCCAATAGGTTCCTTCATTTTTGGGTACTCAGCAGCAGTTCTTTATCGCAGGGAAGGTAATGGAGATGGCAAGTGCATGGGGATGGAATGCTATAGGACAACTTTTGTTGTCTGGGGATCCCTCTGTCTTTTTGGCACTTTCCTTGCTTTAGTTCTATACGCTAGGTTGCGAAAGTTCTACTCACGTACATAGAATATTACAGAAAAACAAAAAATTATTACAGAAATAATTAGGTCTATGTGGATCAAATTAAACTAAGATCTGATCGACTGATTCGTGCGGTGAATCACGATATCATTATCTATATCATTAACTGTCGTGAATGTTTTTTTTTTTTATAATGTAATCAATGGTTTGATCCACATGAATTTCTATAGAAAATGACACTTTTTCTTCTTTTTTTCTGATGACAAGAATACTACAACAAGTTAGAGTTGTACAAGTCAATTATATTATAGTGAGAGACATGTATTGTGAGAAATTATCATGACTTGGTAATAGAAATATACTCTTGTACAATTACACACTCTTGCTTTAAACTACAAACAATGCAATGACATAGTGCTTTCTTTCATTTTGATTTTTTTTCCCTTGCATTAATAGCTAAATCTGTTTTTATTGTATTTTTTTCAGTATGTATTGACATCCTTAATTGTATCGATTTTATGTTTAAATATATTTTAAATTTTTAATATATTATTTTATCAAGATTTCAGATCAAATCATTGAAATTATTCTCGTAATTTACACGTTACCAATTTTTATTTTTAAAATACCCTTGTAAGCTAATTAAATTAAAAAAAAAAAAAGCTTTTATATGCGAATCGTGTACTTAATTTCAATAATTTAATTTGAAAATCTTGACAAAAATAACAAATTACATATTCAATATATATTTAATAATAGAATTAATTTAATAAGAAATATAATAACATATTAGAAAATTACTTTATTATATACTATATAAGGACAAACTGAGCTATTAACATAGCTTGGCGAGTCCGTTGCTCAATGATTTTGGAAAATTTTGGCTTGCGGCCAAACTTTTTGTTAGGTAATTTCTATCTGTTGAAATTAAACATGACGATGGGATCGATCGTTTTGACGTTCACTCATCAAATTAAGAGTCTTCAAAAAAGGGAATTTTTTCTCTCTTTCTAGACATTATCTGAAGACAACCACAACAATCTCACGAACTTTGAAACTCAGACCATGGGAAATGTGGGTCCTATACACATGAAATTAAAGCCACCCAGAAAGAAAGAAAGACGTACAAAACTACTTCAAACTTGATCTAGGAGCCATGATTACGTTTTTAAGTTCCCCTATTGCCAAAAATTGATGGTTTGATACATATCTTAGCCAAAAGAGACAGATCAATATAAATATCAATATGAAACAAACAGTGTAGATGGGATGACAAAAAGTTTCACATCTTTAATTTTCTAATTTTCTAAGTTCAAAATCTTGAACTTTCTCTCGTAAGAATTTATTTTTCTAAACATGTTCAACCATACTGAGTGTGCATGCTAAAAATTGATTTTAATTTAGTTGTTTTGTGGGACGTGGACTTCATTCATCAAAGTTAGGTCAGTTTCTACAACACAACGATATTGTCTTTCGATAGTACCATTTTATTCATGACCACGAGGATGCATAATATAGTGTTTAATTTCAATGTTTTGAAAAAAAATTGTGTATGATCCGAAATTTTCCTTCCCACACTGATTTTCTTAATTACCGTCCAATCTAGCTACCCATTTTCTACCTTCTTAATAATTATTATAAATGTGTTTCATACTATGTTTCTAGGGTAGCCTATCAAATATTAGACCCTTTCAGACTATTGAAATCAAATTAAAGGGAATGCCTTAAAAAAATTCTATAAAAATAGTAGATATCACGTTTTATATTTGAGATAAAACTAATCATATTCAGAATTAGATTGACAAGATTTAACTTTTTCTAACAAACTTGAAATGAATGAATGAAAAACTTGGACAAACCTCAAATTAGTCCTTTGACTAATATTGATCAAACAATGTTCAATTGAGCTTTGATATTTTTTTTTCTCTCAATTAATTAATCCCTAATGGCAGCTGATGAATCTATAAAAAATTTACATCGAAGACCAGTGTGCTATGTTGTTGGAATGTTGGGGGAGCCGATTAAACACTATAATTTATAGGGATTCACTTATTAACGGACACTAATGTAGGGACTTGATTGAGGAATTTGTGAAACTTTAGGATTGCAATTGTATTTTATTTGGAGAACAAATTGAGAATTGCTTGATAGTTAGGAGACTGATTTGAAACTTGTCCATGAAAGTTTGATAATCAAAGCCTAATTAAACGGACTTTCTTTGTCATGAAATGTCACATTCAGAAATGCTAAATTCTTGGCCATATGAAATTAAGATGCATCGATCATGGCCCCCACAGGCTCCATTTTATCAGATCCTTCAACCTGTTTCGGCCATCTTTCATTTATGGGTCCAGCAAAGTTTTGTGTCCCCATAACTTTGATTGGGTTGCTAGCCACGTACCTTGATATCATTCTATTGTCACAATTACGTAATATATAAATTCTATTTTCTTTTAAGAGTTAGGACATTTTCTTGTTAAAATTTATTTGTTTTCACTGATAATCTGTTTTCAATTATAAGGGGTATTTACGGACCAATTTATAAGTTAATTAAAACTATTTTTTAATTGTTTTTAATGATAAGAGATATTTATTAATCGGTTTTCGAATCAATCGAAACTATTTTTTCTTTTCACATACCATAATTTTAAGGATATATTATTATCATCATATATGTTAATTTTAAGATTTAAATTTAAAAATAAATAAATTGTTTTACCACCAAACCTATCTTTTTAGGTTATCTTAAATGAATTTTAATATTTTAGATATGTTAAAAGATAAGGAATGTTTATGGATTAGTTTATCCGCCAATGGAAACTATTTTTTTTTATTTTTTTAAAGATAATTTGTTTTTAATAATAAAGAATATTTACATATTACGAATCAATGGGAACTTTTTTTTTTGACAAATCACGATCTGAAAGATGTAGCACATAGATTTCTGTGATGTGACTTTTTGGGTCCCTTTATATACATTTTTGCAAAAATGATTAAGCTTTTGAAACCAATAAAGCTTTGAGTAAAATTTCATTGGATTTGATATATCTTAATAATTAGGGCCTGACGTTGCTCTCTTCTGCTTCAGTTCCTTAACATTGGCTTTTGAAACTTGTTTAATAAGTCCAATTTCAATTTATCCACCAAGCTAATTTTCCGGATGTATATTTTCGTTACTCGACGTCGAACAAGACTCCTTCAAAAAATATAATTTAAGTATTAATTATTTATAAAGTTATTTATAGAATTTAGAGTCGTCACCTAGTATTAAAGGAACTAAGAACCCGAAATAAGCATTTGTTCAAAGATTCTATAGTAAAGAGTTTGTTACACATTTGAGAAGATATTTAATTATCCAAAAGTGTCATTTTTGAAAAAATGTACCACATCTAGTTTAATTGAAAATTCATCTCGTAGATTACTTCATTTATTGTCAAATTATTTTCCAATTTTTGAACTCCAAAATAACAATAATAATAAATAAAATAAAAATAAAAATCAAAATTAGAAAATAAAAAAAAATAGTTATTGGGCGGGGCATCATATTGAAACGATCGTCCGTCTCCTTCATTGGGCGACACGTCGGTTCAAACATCGGATCCTCTTTAAGCCTTGACACAATCGGTATATCGGAGAACATACCGATTAAATAATAATTTTTTATGACGTTAGTCTCTCTCAAATAGGAGAATTCGTCGAAAATTTTGGATTTTTGTGTGCCGTCGATCCTTACCATGTAGTAGACTTCGTAAAAAATTTCAAATATATTTTTGATGACGTCGATCCTCGTTAGATAGGAGACTTCGTCAAAATTATTTTTTTCGATATATATATATATATATATTTGTGGCGTCAATACCTATCGAGCGTGAAGACTTTGCCAAAATTTTAGAATTTTTTTATTTTTTTATTATCTAATAACATAAAAAAAAAGAGAGAGAAAAAAATCAACTCTAAATTATTACATGAAAATATGATGAGAAATAGAATAATAAAGTTAAAGAGAAAAAAATAAATAAATAAAAGAAATAAATAAATAAACAAAGTCAACATATTTTAAATAAATAAAGAAATGGTACATTCGTACCCATCTTTTTCTCGAGAGAGGTTGGACTTTTGTTTCATTTTTTTTTTTTTTTTTTGGAGAAGGCTGGAATAATTTCAGCCTTCTCTCTTTTTTATATACTTGCTTACACAAGGGAGCACGGGCTTTAGTCCAGCCCTCCCTTTAATCGAATCTGACTGGGCTTCACACAAACAAACCCGTTTTCCCACTTTTTTAGATCAAAGCCAGACCTTAACCCGTGATCCCCTCTCCCTCTTTTTATTTCATGCCGTTCCTCATAGTCTGCTCTTGTTTTCCAGTTTTCTTTTCAGTTTTGAGTTCCCTCTTTTTTTTTTTTCTTTTTTTTTTTTTTGTGATGGCTAGATGACATGAAGTTAGTTTATTCAGTTGAACTAAAGCCTAAGATCTAAACTAAAATACGAATTAGCAACAATTCAAGTCATCAAATAAAGGGTTGGCGAAGCAAAATACAAAAATGGAGACTAACAAAATTTAAATCAAACCCGAGCAAACTTGTAGCTTGGGTGGAGATGTTAAAATTTCTAGACGACTTTGATGAATGTGGACGCTTAGTTAGTACTCAAGACTCGGGAATTAAGTCTTGTAGAAGTCGTGGATAACGGGAAGCAATCTCGAGTCGATGAACACACCCGGACAACGAAGAACAAAAACCCAGCAAACAGGAACAACGAGCAAGATTTCCCGGAACGTGATGAACAGAAACAAAAGAATTTGACTCCGAATCTCACACAAAAAATGTGAAGGAAAACGTGAAGATAAAAACTTAGCCTCGGGAAACACCAAACAAAGAAGCAAAGGGGTCGACAGATTATGAATCGAACCCAAGCCCCAAGAACCCAAACCCATAAAACATAATGACTAACAAATAAAAAATCAAGCCTTTTGCTTTTGATTTTCAATCCGTCTTAAACCGGAATTCTTCTCTTTTTTTTCGTGAAGCAGTACTCGTTTTATAGCCAAAAACTTCCTAAAATTTCTCCTAGAATTAAATCTCAATTCCGAATTTTTCTCTCAAAATATTTCTTCTTTAATTCATGATTAATGCAAAATCAAAAAAACAGGAAATTTGTTCATTGTTTAATTCTATGTCGGTATTAATTCCGTCCAAAAATCATGATAAATGCAAAATCAAAACAGGAAATTTAGTGGAAGATTTGATAGATTTCTCCCAAGGATTTTCGGAGAGAATTTTGATTTGGAGTGGACGACGAGTTGTCCTTTACATTTTAGTCATGTCATCTTCTCTAACATTTCAATTTGGTCCTTGTGAATTTCAATTTCAGCAATCACGCCTTTACGTGGTATAATTTCGGTCTTTATGAAGCACAATCCTATCAATTGGGTCCATGTAGGGTGCAATTTAGGTTCTAAATTTTTCAATTGGTTCGATTATACCCTTAATTACCTCAATTATGCATTTGTTTAATTATAATTATGCCCTTGAATGAATGTTTATGTTTTTCATCATTTTTTATTTTTTATTTTTTTTTGTAGTAAACTCCAATGTTCAAATTAAAAAAAAAAAAACAAACAAACAAACATAAATAAAATAAAATAAAATGGATAATTTTTGGATTATATATATATATATAATTGAGTAGATTTTATTATCGAAGATGTATTAAGTTTTTGATTTATTATTTTGTGAAGATTTTTCGGGTAAAATTACCATAATTATTCGTATGATTCATACATGACTATTTTTCTTTTAACTAATCGTTACAAGATAGTTAAATAGAATGCTTTTGTATACAAATTGAGTGACGAATTCGATAATCTAAACTAATAATCTTGTCAAAATAATAGATTAAACACTTAATATATATTTAAAGATAAACTTAGTTCAATTAGAGATATAAGAGAACTGATCGAAAAATTATTTCATTATATATATAATAAAGCATCAATCCTTTATATAAATAAGATTTTCTAGGAATTTTATTATTGAATTTAGTATAAATTAGTTTTTTTACTCATATCACGCTACGAGTCGGACAAAATACGTAAAATTATTTTTAAAAAATTATTTCATTTTGATGTTCTACGTTATATTGTGCGTCTATCAAAATATATCAAATTAAAACTGAATAAAAAATTCATTTAAATTTATCATTTATTAATAAAAATTTTATACTTGACTAATTATTTTTTATATTTTCATACTTTTTTTTATTAAAAAAAATCATTTATTTATCTTTATCCACATTTTTAGTTAAAGTAATTAATTTTTTTCTAAACATCTTTTTTCCTTAAAATTTTTAATTAAAAAAATCGAGAGAAAAAACAAGGATCAAAATGACTAAAATGAAACAAAAAAGGGACCAAAATCAAATAAAAAATTATTTGTTGACTAAAAAAATAATATTTAAAAAAGATGAAGCAAACCGCAATTTTACGAAAACTTTCATAATAAATATTTTAAAAACATTTGAAAGCTATAAAAATGCCACTCGTATAATAAAAAGAATAATGCATTTAAATCTGGATGAATAGCGCAAATGAGTCTCGATGAATAGTATTTTAAATAGTGTAGTGAATAGTAATGAATGGTTTTAATTTAGTTTTTTTGTTTTTTTTTTTTAATAATAGCTTATCCTTAATTAACCAATCTTGACTTTAGCATAAAACAGGCCCACAAATAGCACTTATGACATAACCATGAGTCGCAATTTCTTTTCCATTCTACTTTTTATTTCTCTTAGGTGTCGTTTAGTAATAAAGAATAGAATGATGGGAATGAGAATGAAAATTTTATTCTCACGTTATAGCTATTTGGTTAAAAGGAATGAAGTAGAAATGGAAATGAAGAGTGAAAATGAAAATGAAAATTTACACAACTTTATTCCTATATAAGATGTGGGATTAAAAAATTAGGAATGAAAATGAATTTTTTTCATAATAATATATTTTATTTATTTATTGTCTATTAACTATTTGTAGCACTACCATTATCACCACCATCATCATCACAACCATCACCACCACCACTACCGCAACCACTACCGTCATTGCCCACCGCCACCACCACTAGAACCATCATTGTCATAATCATCACCACCACCATCACCTTTATTATTTTTACAACCATTATAGTTTAATAAAATTATTTTTCTTAATCATTATTTTTATTTGTATAAAAAAACTAGATATTAAAAAATTTAAATTGCATTCCGATTTTTCATTAGTATTTCAAACATAGTATAGAAATACAATGTCATTCCGATTCCTTAATTTTCATTTCGATTCCTACATTCTCATTTCCATTTTCATTATTCTATTATTGATTATCAAATAGCACATTAAAGTGATATCCATGTTGCCAAAAGGGGCAACACACGCTATAACAGACATGATTTATCTTGGTTCAGTGATAAAAAAGTATAAGTATGATTAAAATTAAAATTTAATTCTCATTATTCATAAATAATTAGTTATAATTATTTTTTAATAATATTAAATTTGGACTAATTTGCTCTAAAATATACCATAATAGTTAACCAAATGCTAAATCAATTCTGACGCTAGTTTAATTTGAGAAATGATAGATTTAGTTTCTAATGATTAGATTTCAAAATTCCACGTACAAAATTAGAGTCTTTTCATCTTCTCGAATAAATATAGCTCTTATGTTCATTAATCTAAATTAAATGGTTATGATTTAGTGTAAAATAAGAATAAAAATAACTTAATTTTTTTAATTTTTTTTATTTCTTTCACCTAATTTAAATTATTAAATTTAAATTAATGGTAAGATTTAAAATATAACATTCATGTTCTAGAGATTAGTAGGAAATCTAAAGGGATGCAACCCGGCCCACTAAACATGGGAGGCTTGGGGTTTGCATATAGTCTACTGGCCCATTAGCAAAGTAGCCTAAACATATCCACTTCAACAGAAGCCCATCTAGCTGAAACAAAACACTTTTTTGTTTTATGAGAAATTCTCCATAGGGTCGTAATGAGTAAATTACAAATCACTTCCTTTAGTTTAGAGAAACAAATTAGTTAGTTAGTTTTTTCTGCTTCAAAAACTAATTATTTAATCATTGTATCCATTTTTATGTCATTTATTTATTTATTTTAAAAAATAACAAAATATTATCGAAAGATTGATGAGAAAAAATATTTTTAAAAATAAAATAACATTAAATTAAACATAATCATCATCGATCAAATGATTAAATAACTATTTAAAAAAACTAGCTAATTAATTTGATGGACTAATTTATAATTTATTTGATTGGTAAAATCCACTTCCACGACAGCTAGACAGCCATACCAATTGTAGAATGATTAGTAAACTACAAAATGAACGCGTGATCCAAATATAAAATTATTTGCACTTAAAAGATACAAAAAAGTTGGCAATAAAATATAACTCAATTAATGTTAATATTCTCTTTTTTTTTTTTTTTTGCCTTTCAAAAAACCTCGAATTCGAATATCTTCTTTGTAAAAAAAGGAAAAAAGAGTTAAACTTGGGATGAGCATCTACCACACTTCCATTGCCGTTTATTTCAAGGCAACCCCATAAGAATGAAGTTCACAAGACATCCTTTCCTTGTATGGACGAATAACGTGAGTGAATTTTTGTCTCAAACTTTGTCTTTCTCAATTCACATGTTTCCACCAACGTTTTTAACCCATTAAGAAAACTTCTATATATTACCTCTCCATAAGGAATTTACGATTTATATTCTATCAACTTTGTTTTTGTTGTTTTCACTTACATTATTTGCATGTGAATATTGTATTCACCTAATACAGCTCACGTGAGCTATGCCAAGTTACTTCTACTCAAAAACAGTAATTTCCATATATAATTAACCTACAAACTAAATAGTCACCCTCTCGAGTTTCGAGGATCTCTCTACTCTATTTTTGGCTAGCTAATATGATTAACATTGTTTTACTTCGTGTTAGCTTTTCTTTATTTCTGCACGCACACACAGATATATATATACACACACACATTGTAACTAATATTCCTATTAGTAAGGAAGCAATAATTCCAAAAAAATACCAATATGATTAGGGT